CCATTTCTAGAACTGTATGCTTTGGAAGTACACAAATGCACATAGGTTTTTGTATAAAGAATGTTCCTTGCAGCCTTATTTGAAATGGAAAAAAACCCTAAATATCTATGCGTGAGGAAGTGATTTAATAGATTATGCATATTTGTTCTACTTAACACTACATAACTATCTAAATAAAGGCTGCTGTTCCATATATTCTGATATGGATCCATGGTCTCCTATAAATAGTGGGAAAAAATTAAGTTAAAACGTGTGTGTGTGTGTGTGCGCGTGTGTAGGAGAGAGAGAGAATAGAGAATGGTCCAGAACTGTGCTAAAATGGTAGCCACCAGCCAATGAGGCTATTGAGCACTTAAAACGTGACCAGTCAGAATTGAGATGTACACTAAATGTAAAATACTCACTGGATCTTGAAGACTTACAATAAAAAAAAGTAAACTCTTGATAATGTTTATATTTATTCTACATGGAATTGATAATACTTTAGATGGATTGAGTTAAATAAAATGTATTCTTAAAATTAATTTCACCTGCTTCTTTTTACTTTTTTGAATGTGGCCAGTAGAAAATTTAAAATTACCTACGCAGTTGGCATTTTATTTCTATTGGACAGCGCTGGTCCAGAAGGATAAAGCAATAACACTGATTGCTCCTAGGGAGTGGGATTACAGAGAAGGTTTGATGGCGAGGACAGGAAATAGGGACTTTCACGTTTAACCTAAACTTTACAATATTTTTCACAAAGCATTTAATTTATAAATTTAAAAATGAATAGTAGGAATCCAAGCAAAGTCTGTAGTTTACTTAATAGTATCATATCAATGTTAATGTCTTAGTTTTGACAAATGTACCATGGTTATGTAAGCTGTTAACATTAGGGAAAACTGGTGAATACAGGAACTCTGTACTATCATTGTAATTTTTCCGTAAATCTCAAGTTATTTCAAAATAAAAAGTTAAAAAACAACAATAAGGGAAATCAGCAATCTAACAAGATGTGTGTCTTCTGCTTAAACAGGGAGTCTCTTACTCAGAGTCTCAACATACTCTCAGGCAACTGGCTAAGACTCTCCCACCCAGAGTGTCCCTTGTAAACCCATTTACTTGAAATAAGGCAACTAGATAACTAAATGTCATATTTCTTAGCTTTTACCTGAAATTCCATCAATTCAGATAACTCATTTCTCCTATGGTGATTAGAAGCTGTTTGGCTGCTGCTTATGTAATAGGAATTTTTGCTGGACTAGTGGGGTTGCTGGGAGAGTACGGAAAGGCATGTTGCTCTGAGGACGTCACTGAGTCCTGGGCAGCTGGCAGAGTTTAAAGCTCTCTTGCAATTGGATCCTTACTTCAACCCTCAGATTTAGCCAACACTAAAGTCAAGAGATTTTTTTTAAGCTCTAGTGGTGAACTTTGGGATAAAGAAATGAACCAAAAATCTATATTTTTAGTATAACAAAACTGTGTGAAACAACTTTCACCTACATTTATACAGTTGTTACATTTTACTTAAGTGTTTTCTGAACAAGAACTAAATTCAGCGTGCAATTGAGCAGTAATGGCAAGTAAAATTGTGGATAATAAAATTAAAAACAGATTAGATACAGATATATAGATATACAGACATTTCAGAGCTAAGAGAAGATAAACACTGCATTGGAATGTAAAATTTTTCTGTTTTACATGAACTAGGTTTAAAATGAATACGTATAAATACAAATTGTAGAAATTATAAAGAACAAGATATCAGCTTATCATGAAGCAGATTTTAGTATAGACTATAAAGTTATAATGAAATATTTTCCAAAGGTGACCCACCCACAAAACAATTACATTAAAATAATGTGCATATTTAAACAGATGTGATGCCACATATTAATAGCTTAAATAACCATTTAAAAAAAACTCTCACTGCTTTCTCTGGAAAAAGAGAGTCACACCATAAGCAGAAGGAATTTGAACAAGAATTCACAAAAGAAATCACTACTCTGCGTGAATGAGTGACTTGGAATGACTTTAATCATTGCAGTCAATATGACTGAGAAAAAGATACAGAGGATCTGGAAGCTTGAAACTAACATTTCTGACTCATACTGCTCCTTTGCACAGGTTTCCGCTGAAAATTGGCCAAAATCAGCCCTCCTTGAGCTTGAGAACCCTCCAACCAAATGGCCCAGCTGCCCCCCTTTTCTTTCCCGTTTCCCAGCTGAGTCCCAGAAAAGAATGATGGAAAATCTTAAAAATTACAGCTCTAGGGCATCTCTACTTATCTCCAGAAGAATCCAGATTTTCTCAATAGAAATCTAGAGACAAAATTAGTGTTCAGTTTAATTTTTTTAATTTAAATTTAAATGAAAATTAAATTTAAATGGGACTAGGCATGAGGGGATGCCCAAAAATCAATTAGTGAAGGGTTGAACAGCTTGGAATTTCTGCCTCTGTAATTCCAAATCTAGAAGAAGTGATAGGCGGATAAAACGTGGCAAGACCTTACTTCTTCAGTCTAAAAAGATCAGGGAGACCCCTCTTGCCCTGTGGGGTTCTTATGGCAGAACTCTGGAAGAGCAATCCTAAGGCACTTCTAAGAATGCATTCAATCTTACCACACTGCTGTTAATTAAGTTAACCTCTGTCATCTGGACCCTTTGCAGCTTTTTGTTCCCCTTTCTGCCATCTTCCTCATTCCAAATAATTGAAACCAGGGTTCCAGCCCTGGCTTGCTGCCACGCTCTACTGTTGGCCATGACCTTGAACTTAACTTATTGATTTCTTCATTTGTTTCTATGATGAGGAAGGCAGACAGGAAAACATTGCTATAATACTGAAATCTAACTTTTTTATTACAAAAGAAAATGGAGAAAATAATTCAAATAATTACAGAAGTATATAAAAGGAAAAAGTGAAAAATCTCTCTCTTGACCATTTGCCCCATGGGGTAACAACATTAATTTGGGTATACTCTTCCAGATTTTTTTAAGGCAAAAGAAAAAATTAGCAGCAACTATATACTATTTACTATATACTATACACTATTTTAGAACTTTTTTTTTCTTTTGACTTAGCAATATAGCATTCTCCTCTGACAGGTAATGTAAGCTCTGTGAAAGTAGAGATTATGTCTGCTTCTTCCATCGCTATACTTCTAGGGACCAGAACAGTTTCTGGCACAAAGCTGGTGCCCATAAATGTTCACTCAATGAATGAAGGGAATGAATCCTCCTTCCCATCAGATCAACTAGAAGCTCTAGGGGGTCAGGGATGTGTCTATTTGGTATCTCTCTATCATCTCAACACCAGAGTACCTGGCACATAGTGAGCACTTAATAAATATTTCTGAATTAGCAAAACAGCTCAGTGATGAAACCACTTAATTCTTTTTAACTGCACCAGTCTGTTGACACACGACAATAATCAACTATTTCACTATTGATGGAAGAAGTCTCTTACAAACACCGTGACAATGATCATTCTTGTATATATACCCTTGTATAAACATTTTTGTGGGATAAAAATCTCTTTTGGGAGCGAACCCCTGATCTGGTCCGAATGTGTTCTGAAGTCCCTTCCCTCTAGAATTTCATTACTTTAAAATGCTTATGATTAATTTTTCAGCTTGTATGAGAGCCACTTCCTATAATTTTGCAAAATGATCTCCCTTACATATCACCCTGTAGAAAGCCAGTGCTTCCCAAAACTGTCTAGATGCAGCCCAAACCCTGTAATTCACACAACAAGATTGCCGGGAAGACTTCTAGAAACAAACAAACAGGCTGCCTGCATCTTTGGTGACCAACATCTTCTGCATGTGGCACAGTAGCACTTTAGTCATCACATGGGGAGGAGTAGTTTTCAGGCAGCAACAGCCCATATTCTTGATTGATTCTTCACGTGCTGCAGAGGGCTCAGCACAAAGGGAGGAAGAGACAAGAGAGTAACAGACTTCCAAGGGCCTGAGCTGGGAGATGATGCTGAGAAACAAAGGGCACTTTGGCCTAGATAAGAGCACATATGGGAGTGTAAGGGTGTTTGTGAGTTCTCCAAGAAGTGAAGTTACAGAGCTCTGTCTGAGATCTCCAATGGAAAAATCTTTCCAAAAAGCTATCTTTCTGCTTATTTAATTTTTTTCAATCCAAAGCTATTTAGTAAATTTCTGCTATGTGTCAGAGCTGTGTAAGGCACTAGAAAGGCAAAAAATAAGCAAGGTAGACCTAGTTGCCACCATCTTGATATTGAAGCTTAGGGACTATTGTCTCTCCATCAAGGGATCTGACACTGACAAATACAGATTACTGGAGCCATTTGCCTTCTTTCCACCAGGAAACAAAATCTCCATCCCAGTTACTGCTTCCTCCTCTGTGAAAAACACAGCTCCAGTTCTCTCCATGAATGGAGAAGTTGGTTAGAGATATTTCCCTTTGAGTGCACCCCAAGCAAAACTTGGCAAAACACACCAAGTACACTTCCTTTTTCTCCCGGAGCTCCTGCCGCAACACAGGCCTTGCTGGGCAGTCTTCTTAACTGACAAGGGAGAGCTGTGCAGTGGCACTTACTGTTGGAGAATCAACATTCAAAGACATATAAACCATGAGACTCAGAGAGAACGTTCAAGACCATCTAGTCCTACTCCAGTAGTTTCTTATCCTTTTGTGGGTCACACATCTCTTTGAAGATCAGTGACTCCTTTGTACTTTCTGTGCCAAAAAAGACATTTACATACATCTCAGCACATAATTTTCCCTATATTTTCAGGAACTTCATGGACACATGATAAGATTGAATTTCCGAGATCCCATATTAAGAATTCTTACTCTGTATAAAAGCCCATTTGAGCTCTAACGCCTTGATTAGCATTCTCTGAGTTGGGTAGCCCATCGGCTGGAATACAGAAGTAATGTGCCTAAGTAGAGTGCAGGTCACAGTTCAATCCCCATGTGAGTTAATTATCTTCAGAAAATGGAAAAACTCTGCTTGATGGCCATGGATAGAGCCTCTAAAACAAGTCAGCTGACATATTTCATAGTTTTCAAAGACAAGACCAAGCTCAAAAATGAAGTAGTTGGATCTGATGGCGTTGAAAGGTGACAACTCAGAGGTTGTCAGGATTGCTGCTCACTGTCGACGTAGCAGTAATACTCATACGGATCCTCCATTTCATATACGTTCTCCTCAATGGTATAGATGTTTTCCTCCGAGCGCATCCCCTCTGCTACTGTATTTTCTAACCCTAAGGGAGAGGGGTTGCCCAAAGTGATGAGGCTGTGGAAATAAAATGTTGCAGTTGAGTTAAGCACTACCCGGGCAACATAGAATAGTTAAGAGAATAGGCTTTGCTGAAGAGACAGCAACCAAATGAAGTACATGATCCTTGATCGGGTCCTGACTAGGTGAAAAAAACTATAAAATAGCAATAAAATAATTTGGGCAACAATTGAGGAAATTTGAATTAATCTTAATTTTCTTAGGTATAAAAATTTGGCATTATGTTATCTAAGAAGACATCCTCATTCTAAGGAAGTACAGATTGAAGTGTTTAGGTGAAGTGTCAAGATGTCTGAATCATCCTTACAAATGGTTCAGAAAAAAATTGTGAACTCTATAAATAGAGAAGCAGATAAAGCAAACATGTCAAAATGTTAAATCACATGTGTTGAGGTGAAGGATTCTATTGTTCCTTGTACTGTTATTTCAGTTCTTCTGTGGGCTTGAACAATTTCAAAAAGAAAAAAAAATGAGTATGTTATAGATCCAATCAGATTTGAGTTTCAATTCTCTCTCTGTTGCTTACCAGCCACACGACCTTGGGTAAGTTGGGTTTGGTTTTTTCATTCATTCATTCAAGAGATATTTAGTGTGTTACACACTGCTCTATGTAGCAAGAGATACAGCAGTGAACAAGACACAAAAATCCCATGGAGCCTGCATATTAGTAAACTTTGTGTCTTAGAGGCCTCATCTATAAAATGGGAATAATGAGTGCTCTATCTCAAAGGGCTGCTGTAAAGGATTATTTCTTCATTCAGTCATCAAATATTTACTAAGTGCCTACTACGTATCAGGTGCTGTGCTAGGGGAGACAGTTGTTAATGTGGCAGACAAGTTTCTAGTTTTCTATGGAGTTTACTTTATACGTAGAGATGAACATTAACCAATTTCACAAATAATTTGTGAAATTAATGAATTAATGTATGTAAATATTACCTATGGATATTACCACATTTTAGATTTCAGCTCTAATAAAGAATACTGGCACAGATGATCTAAAACCATTGATAATTAAATATTTTATTCGTCCTTATTTGACTTTTTTTTTTTTGTAAGGAAGATTGACCCTGAGCTAACATCTGTTGCCAATCTTCCTCCTTTTTTCCTTTTCTTTTTCCTCTTTCTCCCCAAAGCCCCAGTAGATAGTTGTATGTCACAGTTATACATCCTTCTAGTTGCTCTATGTGGGACACCTGCCTCAGCATGGCTTGAAGAGTGGGTGCATAGGTCTGCACCCAGGATCCGAACCAGTGAACCCCAGGCCGCCGAAACTGAGCACGTGATCTTAACCACTATGCCACTGGGCCAGCCCCTGACATTTTTTACTACAGGCTATTTTGTCTTCATCATTATACTCTCTATACTTAGTCTAAAATTATCAGTGGTTTAGATAGTATTCAATGGGCAAAGTCATTTTTTCTTGAACTGTGTTTCATTCTACTCGTACCAAATGTCACTAAAATCTAGTAAAAGTTATGTAAGCTATGTGTATTTGGAATGGGTGTGTGTATGTGTGTCTGTAATATAGTCAGGAATAGAGTCTAAGACTGAGATATAATAAACTGGTAGTTCTCATCCCTGTCTGCACTTTAGGATCACCTGGATAGCTTTTAGAAAAATACCTATGCTTAGGCCTCATCCCCAAAGATTCTGATTTATTTGCTCTGGGGTTGGCAAGAGTATGTTTAAGTGCTCTAGGTGATTCTAATGGGCAATCAGAGTTAAGAACACATGGACTGAGTTGTTAAAGCCCTGAGAGTAGATTCTGGGTTTCTTGTTCACTTCCTTAACCCAATGGCCAGCCCAGAGCCTGGATGTAGTAGGTGCTCAATCAACTCAAGGGTCAGTTCATTGAAAAAAATCCATTAATTCAGAACTAAATAAGCATTTCCTATCAATGGGGAGATAAATTCTATATCTTAACGTTAGGACTAAGGAAGCTAGAGGGATCAGGTAGTAAACAGAGCAATGTGTTGAATTTGCATTTCATAAATCTAGGCCTAAAGCAAAAAGGAAGTATAAGTTTAAATCCCAAAGTCCCAGGTAAGGACTTCCAGAGCAAAGATCAAAGCATATGAGAGTAGCAGCCTCCAAGAGTCCCACCTTCCCCTACTCTACCCATTATTCTTACCTTGAATTCTGTAAATTCTCTTTGCTATGAGAATACCCTAGGGGAAAGGGGGGAAGAGAAGTCAATTAAAAATTCTTTCATAAAATAAATGAGATAAGAAATAAAATGGGCTCACTGGAGGCAAGTTTAGGGAAATCTGATCTCCTCTTATATTGAATTGAGTCAAACTATCAATGTGTGTCTTGGTTTATTACATGAACTATGCTAGAAAGTAATAAAGATGCATTTTTCATATTCAACAAATATATGGAAAACCTAATATTTGTCTGATAGTATGCTAAGCACCAGGGACACAAAGGTGAATTATGAGCCCTGACTTCATGAAGCTTGTGTTCTCATGAAGGAGGCATTTAAGAAAAAAAGAAAGAAAGAACAGTAAATAGGAAAATAAAATAATTTCAAATTGTGATGTGATATAAAGAAAACCAACAGTGCACTGGAACAGATAATAGAGAGGGTGAGCAGGAAAGAATTCTCAGATGAGATGACCTTTAAGCTCAGTTCTGAAAAAAGAGAATGAGTCAGGCAAGTAAAGAACCAGGGGCAACATTCCAGGTAGAGAGAACCCCTGGTAAATGTGGTGATAAGTGCCTGAAACTGAAATCATGGTTGGAACAAGAGAGTGGCCCAAGATAAGATCTGAAAGGTAGGCTGGGGCTAGATCCTATAGGATCTTTTAAGTAATAATCAAGGGTTTGGATTTTATTCTAAGACTCGTAGTAAATAATTGAAGGGCAGAAATATGTGATTAGGTTTTAAGATGATCACTCTGGCTGCTACATGGAGAATGGATTAAAAGAGGGTATAAAAAATAAGGACATAAGTAGAGATGATGGTGCCTCAGAGTAAGGTGGTGACTGAGAGAGATGCAGAATAATGAATGGATTTTAGATATATTTTGGAGAAAGACTCTGCAAGAATTGAAGTTGGATTGTGTGTTAGGAGTGAGGAAAGAGAGGATTCAAGAATGTCTTCTGGCTTTCTGGCTTAAGCAACCAGACGGCTGGTGGTGAAACTCTATGATGGGGAAGACCAGGGAAGGAGAGGTTGGGTTCTGGGAAGATGGAATATAGAATCTAGAGCTCCATTTTGGACATGTTAAATGTGGGAGACATCTAAGCAGAGATATCAATTGGACAGTTGGAAATCAGTACCAACACTCTGAGAGCTGGAGAGAGAAATTAAGGATGACGTTTAAGTCTATGAGAATATAGGTCATCACTTAGAGGTTAAATAGAGAAGAAAAGGGCCAGCCCTGAGGAAGTTCAACATCTAAAAGTCAAACCAAAGAAGAAGAAATAACAAAGTGATTGAAAAGGAATGGCCACTGAAGTAGGAAAGTGGTGTTTCAGAAGCAAAGAGAAGAAATACTTTCTAAAATGAGTGAGAGTCAACTTGGTTAAACATTGCTGAAAGATGGACTACAATGAAGATAGAGATGTCTGTTGGATTTAGCAAAATGGAGGTCATTGTTGAGCTTGACTAAAACTATTCCCATGGTGCTTCAGGGGTCGCAGTTAGATGGTGGGTTGAAGAATTCAGGGGGGTGAGAAGTAGGGACAACTCATTTGAGAAATATGGCCATGAAGGAGAGTGGAGATATGAGAGTAGCTGGAGACAAATGTGTGAACTAGAACACATTTTTATGCTAATGAAAATAACATAAATAGAAAGGGAGAGATGATTCTAGAGAAAGGGATAAAAGGAGGAATGAAGTCTTGGCTAATGCAAAGGAGATGGAACAGGCCTCTCCTCAGAGGGAGATTTGAGGGGCAGTGAGGTATGGAAACTCATCTCAGAGAATGCACCAGAAAGATATAGGACTGCTGGGCATTATTGAGTGCCACTTTATGGCTTTGATGTCATGACTTAAAAACCTGTCACCTTGGTTATAAGATTTTCTCCAGCAACTTCTAGGGAAAAGATTGCAAATTGAACAGGACTTTCCCATCTGTTCTAAGTAGCCATGTTTTTGGAGTAATATATACGTGTGTACAAAGCATCAGACTTCTCTAACTCCTCATTAATCTCCTTTCAAATACCTTTACACAAACTAGAATTGTCCCTAGTATCTAGGCCTTGGCAGAACTCAAAATGATAGTGAGTGTTATCACTGCTCCTTGTCAACCCATAGACTTAAATTCACGTGATCAATTCACAAACTCCACTGTTACCTCTCTGTAAACCAGGTAAGTGTGGGTGGGGTAGTTTCTTTCTCTGAACAAACCATTTACTGATAATGGCAGAACAACATAATGGTGAGAAGCAGGACAACCTTGGTTTCAAATCCTATATCTATCAATTAATCATGTGACTTTGGGTAAGTTACTTAACCTTTCAGCACGCTGGTTCTCCTTTTGTTAAATTAGAATAATATTAGTACCTATCTCATAGGGTAGTTATGAGGATTTAATGCATGTAAAGCGCTCAGCAGCTTCAAGCTACAGAGTTAGGGTGACCAACTCATCCCAGTTTTCCCTGGACCGTCCTGTTTTAGTACTGGAAGTCCCCCATTTAGGAACCTCCTTCAGTCCCGGGCAAGTCTAGGACAGTTGGTCACCCTACACGCACTCCATGTTTGTATATTAGAAAGGAAAGCTGCTAGAATGCACTAAGCCCTGGGGCATGAGGCCTTGGCCTCTGCCCACTAAAAGAAGAGAATATATCACAATTGTAAAAGTATGTGAGGCCTTTGGGGTGATGGAAGTGTTTGGGTCTTGACTACGGTGATGGTTTCCCAGGTGTAATCATCTATTGAAATTCATCAAGTTGAACACACTTTTAAATACGCAGTTTATTGTATATGAATCATACTTTATTAAAGTTTTTTAAAATAAAGATAAGTAACTTAGAAAAAACACTGTGTGCTGAGTGCCTCAATGGAGGAAAATACAAATACTGCAATCCTGGCCATGACCCAGTGTTAAAGGACTTGCTACCCCTCTCTAAAGACCCATGTCTGAGAAAAGATGAGATAGAAAAATGCACAGAAGGAAATAATTTTCATTGTTGTGCTTTCTAATAAACCGGGATGTGTTCATGAATTAAAGAGGTTTGTTTTCTTAACAAAAAATAAAAGAACAGGTACTGGAATCAGCCTGCCTGGATTTGAATTCTAGCTTTGCCACTTAACTAATTCTGAAACCTTGGGAAGTAGTTTACTCTCTCTAAGCTTTACTCTTCTCTGTTGTAAAATGGGAATAATACTACTACCTACCTTATAAGATGGTGATGATGATAAAATGTATATAAAATATTTAGCACAATGCCTGCCTGTACATCGTAAGCATTGAATTAAAATTAGCTCTTATTATTGTTAGGGTTTGAAAGGACTAAAGGATATTTATTCTAATCACCTTTAGGTATAAATATAAATTTATATTTCTATCTAGGATTATGTTGGTTCCCACATTAGCAGTTTCTTATCAGAGGGAGAGAGAAGTAACACTAAATGACTTACATTTGAGAATTAAAGCACCAAAGATAAGAGCCAGAGCCAGCCCAGCAGAGACCCCTGCTCCGATGTAGACGCCCATTCTGGTGGTGGCGCCGGAGTCTTGTAACTCATTAGCCAATGTGGGTATTTGCTATGGAAACACAAACAGAATTGCGGCCAATGGCCAGAAATCGGTTGCGTGCTCAGCCAGTCTCGTGACTTGTGCATCAGACTATCCCTTTCACAGGATCACTGGAGTACAGGGACCTTGAAATCACCTTTGATCTGTCCCCTTCTAGACAAGCCTCAAACCACCCAAAGAAAGGGATTAGCTTAATCTTTGGAGTTAGCCAGGGAATAAAATGTGCCCTTCTCTGCTGTGGGTGGAGAAGGAGCTCTTAGAAATGGACTCCCCTCCCTGCCAAACAAAAATGGGCTTTAGAGTTGAGTTCTGCTCTTTCAAGATCCCTTTGTCTTCCCAAGGAGTTTCAGAGTGGTCTAAATTTGGTGTCTTGCAATGAACCTCTTATTTTCACAGAAAGACAGTAATTTAAGAGCTAGGACTTTATAGCCAGACAGTTCTGAGTTCCAATTCCAGCTCTGTCACCAAGAGCTAAGTCATCTTGTAGAGTTATTGAGAAAATGAAGTGACAAAAATCATAAAATGTTTGGCACAGAGCCTGGTACATAATGCTCAATCAATGGTAGCTATTATGGCTATTGCTCTAATTAATTTGATTTTTTAATAACTGAGAGTCACACAGAAAATCCTTCTGCTTCTAAAATTTCAGTCCATGTCCTCCATTTAAAAACAATAATAGTAAACACTTAAAACAAAGAAGTTAAGGAAATTAAATCTTCCATTTATTCAATAAACATTTACTGCAGGAGTGCTATACACAAGGTATTGTGCGTTAAGCACTGTGGATACACAGAGGTATTTAAAAGGCAGTCCTTGATCGGGAAGAGGGGAGGGACAAATACAAAAAGCTGAGCCTAGGTTGTCAACACACAAAAGAGATTGAGTCAAATGAATGTGGACTCCTAGATACGTCCTCAAAGAATTTTTAAGTCACTGCTATAAGCTTGCTTTCTAGTGATTTTCCCTTTTACTCTGAGGTGGGGACACTAAAATTGTGGTTCATTGAAATATTGCTTTATTGATGGTTAGATATATAAATTCTTGGCTTAGAATATTCCTGACTGGTATCTTGTCATACATAAATAAATTTAAACAAACAAATAATCTTTCTCATTAGGGTTACAATGGAAGCAAGAAGAAACATATTCTAGGGAGAGAGAGGGTCTTTGAACCCTCCACGGTAGGCTACAATTGTGAAATCTGAGAAGAGGGACAAAATGCTAACGCTTCTTCTGTCTGGTTTTCCAGCATTTACTATGTGCAGGCATTTTACATGCATCACCTCATTCCACCCTTACAACAGGCCTGTGCAGTTAGAACTGTCATCAGCAGCATGTTACAGCCAAGGAATCTGAAGATAAGGGAGATTAAGGCATTTTTCCCAAGGAAGGAGTGGGCAGGCAGGAAGGCTCAAGCCATTCTTTCTTTTCCCTGAGTTGAGCACAATGTTAGCTCACACACACACACACACACACACACACACACACACACACACATACACAAAGTTACTTACTGTTTGATTTTTATCATGGCAGGTCTCCAGTGTCTGTGTCTCTGCCATAAAGAGGAAAAATAGCCAATAGAACAGTTAGGAATGTTTTATTTTATCTGAGTTAAAAAAAAAATCTTAAAGATGTCTATAATCCTATTTGAAATTAATTTTACTGCATACTCTTCACAATAATTAATTAGGAGACCAACAATATTTACTGAACACTTACAAATCAACTTTAGGATGACCACATTATTTTCATCTAGATAATGAACCCAGCTACTTATGTTCTATGAAATGGAGACTTCTGCCAGGAAGACCTATGTTGAATACGTGGTTTGTTGTGTCCACAGGGCCCTAATGGGGTCTACAAAATTCCAACAACATTGATAACACTCAGGCAGGCATTATATTGTAATTAGACTTCGAAAAATAACAGAAGTTAATTTTCTTGAAAAAGTTGAACATTTACGCAATAAGAGGGACATAGAGTATTTGGTTGCCTAAAAATGAATATAATAATAACTATAGTTACAATTTACCATGAACAGGCATTGTGCTAAATTCTTTAAGTGAAACATTTCATTTAGCATTCAAAACACCTATCCTAAAATAGGGACTAATAGCCCCATTGTGCAGACGAAGGAGCTGAGAATTAGTAAGTTAAGTGACTTACCTAAGGTACCACAGCTCAGTGAATGACAGAAATGGCCTTCCAATTTAGATCCACGTGGCTACAAGCATACACTCTTAACTACCCTGTCTTCAACAACCTTCACCTGGACATTGTCACTACTACTGAGTACATCACATTGCCCAGCTGCCAGCCCACCTTCTTTCCTTTTTATTTGTTTATTAATTTATCTGTCTATCCATTCGATGAACTTGTACTACTCCCCTACTCTATGCCAGGCATGGGGGGGCAGAGCAGTGAACAGGTGGGCACAGGCCCTGACCTCATGGACACTGCATTCTAAAAAATCAATACGTAGATTGTCGGCTTTGGGAAAACCAAGCATGTATACTCATTTTTCTGGCTGAGTCAGAGACTCGGAAACTTCTTAAATGTCATGATCACTTTCTGGAAGCCTAAAAGTCTAAACCCTTTAATGAAAACTCTTGTGTGTAAAGGATTTGACTAAATGCTGGTTTAATAGTCTGTGCTTTTAGTATTATAAAAGGATGGTCTCTGCCTAAAACTATTTTTGAAAAAAAGAGGCATTTAAAGTATAAAAACCACATTGGTGGAACAGCTAAGTAAACGTGAATCTTAACCACACACGAGATTTTCTAATGCAAATTCAGTTTATGCTTCCCTGTAATTATTTTTCTTGGTCTAAATGGCAAGATTGTCTGACAACTTTTTTTTTTTTTTACTTCATTTTATAGTGAAAATAATCAATAAAATAGAGCGCTGCTGGGTTATCATGGCTTATTTTCACATAAATAGCCATCAACCAAGATGCGTGGGACAGTTGCAGGATGTTGCAATATTTTTCCTAGAGAGCCCAAGACTTGGTTGGGGTGGAGGCAACAGTGGGGGTGGAAATGATGGTCTTATAAGTATATAAATTTAATAGTTACCATCTAGCAAGTATTATGTGCCAAAGATAGTGTTTGGCACTTTACACGTACAATCTCTTTTAATCTTCACCACAATAGGTAGGTACCATTATTTTCCCATTTTTCAGATGAAGAAACTGAGTCTCAGAGAAGTATTTTGCCCAAGAGCATACCGTTATTAATTGGCAAAGCTGAGATTCAAACCAAGTTTACCTTCAGAGCTGAGGACTCACCCATGACCCAGTCCTACTTCCTTCAGGCAGAAGAGAGATTGAATTTGTTCTGTGTTCAAGTTGGATTTAGGACCTTCCAGAATCCTTGGAACTCTTACTTGGTAAGGCTCCACTCCACTTTACAGCAAACATATTAAATGCACCCGCATTTCACATTAAAGAAAAGATATATATAACTACAGACAAGTTGACTGGCAGGTAACTAATTGACATAATGTTACATATTATAGAAATGCCATTATATATTCATTAATTTCAATTTTTCATTTTATTTTCCTATTTTGGACCTATTGCCTTTTTTTGTTTGTTTAAATATTTTCTCAGGCCTTTGAAAAGCTCGGAGATTATAGGTATTGTGTCTATATTCCTTGATGCAAGAGCTGGCCCCATTTTTCTTGACCTAGAGGGAAGAAACTAACAAGTAAAAACGAAAGGGAAGGAGATTTCTGCTCATAGTATAAACAACTCTAAGGAAATGCTCTGCCTCGTGAGGAAGTGAACTCCCACCCAGGAAGGTGTGTGGGTGTACAGTGAATGCCCACCTGGTGATGTTGTAAAAAGCATTGGAGCACAGGATGGGAAAGCAGGACTACATGACCCCTGAAGTCCCTTCTAGGTCTATGGTTGTAGGATTCTTTTTAAAATACAGCAATGGCATACAATAAATATCTGGTATGACTTGATTAGCCCATAATGTGGGTGATCATCTGTTCCCCTCATACTTAATTTCCTCACTAATTGCATAAAAGCTGTTAGCTACCAATCACTAAAGAACAACCAAAGATTGAACCTTTAGAGAGCTGAAGTTAATAACTATAATAATAACTAATATTTGAGTACTTTCTGTGGGCCAGGTACTACGCTGAGCACTTTACATACATTATCACATTCAACCTTTACAACAATCTTATGAAGTAGGCACTGGAGTTACCCTCGTTGTAGAGGAGAGGAAATTGAGCCTCACAGACTTTGAGCAACTTTACAGAATTCATAAAGCTGGCATGAAGAGCTGACATTAGAGCCCCTTCTACCTATTATTGAAGCACTTAACCACAATCTCATTCTGCCTCCAGATCTTATTGATAATATTAATAACAATAATTAACATGTACTGAGTACGTACTATGATTAGACATTAGGCTAAGCGCTTTAGACACACTTTCTTATTTAAATCTCATAAAGTGGGACCTAAGAGATGTATGAGACTAGGAAATGGGACTTACCCATTATTAACCGCATTTTACGGAACAAAGGCTGAGCTCCAGAGAGTTTAGGAGAGACCAGGACTGTGACAGGTAATATTTAAGATTAACCTCCTTGATCAGTGTGATCGGAGGTCTGCCCTTCTGGCTCTGTCTTCTCCTCTAGAATAGCATGGAAATGTCTTTGCTGAATTAATTGAAGAATTTAATGGTCCTCCTCCAGAGCTTGGAATCTGAGGAAGCTGATGGGCTTTATTTCAGTCAGAAGGGATCCTAGAAATCACCTAAACCAACCCTGAACATGGACTGGAGCCAATTCATGACAAAATGTCACCAGTCTGGGTGTAAATCAGAAAATAATAATGATATTGTAATGAGTTTCCCATTAGATTAAATTTACTTAATTTAAAAGACTGTCCTTTTTTGGTGCAGTGTTGTCAATAGTAGATAGAAATTTGTCTTTCCTTATTTGGAAAAATATATTGATCACCAAAATTCTTTTTGGGGGGTTGGGAATTTGACTGGGTCATGAAGTCCAAAAGTCTCTGAACCTGCTCCTTGGACAGAAGAGGTAGCTGAGATCCAGAGAAGTGAAAGGCTTTGGCCCAGGTCACAGAGCTAATTGTGACTAATCCAGAATCCTAGTCTGGGGCTCCTTTTTCCCAGCACAGGTTTGTCTCCATCACCTCCCTCACCTCAAATACTGTCTCAGGTACACGGAAACATTCATGCCTCTACTCTTAAACTTGCTTATCTTTTCCCCATATTCAAAATCCCCTAAACTCAGCAACTTGCCAAAGTCTTCCTCCTACACCTCATGTGTAATTACCTGAGCCATGTCCCTTGGTGGTGAGCATCCTTGGAAAGGCTGCAGTGAAGTCTCTCCAGGGACTCCGAGCAGTGGTGACCTTGGCTAATGTCAGAAACCAATGTAAGAATGAGAATTCTCTGAGAGCAGAGACCTTGTTTCAGGGAATCAAAAGGGCAGCACAACAAATGAAGAGAAACACATGCTCAACTTCCAAACCTACTGGACACCTTTGTTGAGAGTGTATCACACACTTAAAATGTTGGTTACACACTTTAAGAAGAGTGTTACAGTCATCATTGTCACAGTCTAATTGTTAATAATAGGACTAACTGCCACACAAATGGCCACACTAAATGCTTTTCATAAAACATCTCTGAAAATCCTTCCAATGGCCTATATGGGAGGTATTATCATATTTTTTTTTTTTAAGATTTTATTTTTATTTTTTTCCCCCAAAGCCCCAGTAGATAGTTGTATGTCATAGCTGCACATCCTTCTAGCTGCTGTATGTGGGACGTGGCCTCAGCATGGCCGGAGAAGCGGTGCGTCGGTGCGCGCCCAGGGTTCCGAACCCGGGCCGCCAGCAGTGGAGCGCGCGCACTTAACCGCTAAGCCACGGGGCCGGCCCTATTATCATATTTTATAGAGGAGGAGGTCACAGCATTTAAATAACTTGCCCAAGATTACACAGCTAAGTGGCAGATTTAGATTTGAACTCAGCTCCATCAGCCACAAAGTACATCCTCTATAGATCTTAAAACATACAAGCACATGCACCGCCTCCCACCCCCAACACACACACACACACACAGTCCAGTAGTTCTCAATTCTGGCTGCACTGTGGGGAAGAATCACCTGGAAGAGACTTTGTAAAATCCTCGTGCTCAGGCTCTACCTCCAGAGATGCTGATTTCTCTGATTTGTGGATGAGACCCCAGCAACCCAGGTGATTCAAATGAGCAGTCAGGGTCTCAGAACCACTGATCTAGGCCTTTCCTCCCATTCTGTAGATCCTATCCATGAGTTTCAAAATAGGTGGAGAGAATTAAACATGGCTGGGCATCACTGACGGGGCCTGTTAAACTTTAGGTCTGAGGGGCCCACCCCCGAGGCTGTAATTGGGGAGGTCAGAGGTGAGACCAATCAGTATATTTAATATGATCTGCAGGTGAATCTTATTTATAAAGAAGGCATACAAAGGTTCACTCACCTGGTTTGATGACCAACTCCAGGTTTGATTTTTTATCATTCATTGGGCCTGGGAATTGGATCCGACAGCAATAGGTCCCACTGTCGGCTAAAGTCACATTCTCTATGATCAAGGACACGTCTCCTTTGTATAAATGCCCCTTTAGCTGATATCTGCTGGATATCTGATATTTCAAGTTCCTTCCGTCGGTGCTGACCACCAGACTGTGACATTCAAACACAGGACAGGATGCCTTGCCCCAGCACACAGGCACGAGATCCTCAGAGGTGGGTGGAGAGTAGGTGCAGGGCAGATAAGCATTCTGACCCACCTCAGCTGTGTATTCCCCTTCCAAAAACCCTGAATAAAGAGGGAAGGAGAGCAAGACGCAGGCAATGAGTGAGGTTGGTCCATTTCAGGAAAACTGCCAATAATGCCTTGTAGAATAAAGGGGAAAGCACTGCTGCTATCCTGTGTGGAGGATGATTCACTATGACAATGATTCTCAGGCTTCAGGGGCATCAGAATCACTGGGAAGCCCTGTTAAAACACAGATGGCTGGGCTCAAATGCTGGAGTCCCTGATTCAATAGGTCTGGGGTTGGCCCTAAGAATTTGTACTTCTAACAAGTTCTTAGGAGTTGTTGACATGGCTGGTCTCAGAACCTCACTTTGAGAACCAATGCCGTAGGAGAGAACCATGGCCCAGACCTGTGAACGCCGGAGGGCAAGGCTGATGGAAACAGACAATCAGAAAATGGGTCGTTGTCAGCCAGGAAAATAACTCACCCATCTGGGCTAGTTGTCTGTTCATCAACAAAGGGCCGTTATCCTAATACAAATCTCTCTTTTTTTTAAGCACCAGGCACATGATGAATAAAACCCCTTGGCTGAATAAGAAGCTAGTGTATGGCTCTTTTGAGCTTTAAAATTAACTGCCTTTTTAAACAATATATATACATGGTAAAACATTCAAACAGTATAAAAGGCGTTGGAAAAGTCTACTCCCTTGCTTGCTGCTCTTTCCCATTTCCCAGCTGCCCTTCCAGAGCCTACACATTTAGAAGCATTCATGTAGTTCCACTCCCCTGCAACACACACACAAATAGAAGTCTAATATATGCATTATTCCGCTCTTTGCTTTTTTCAATTAACATTATGACTTAGAGGCATTTCATATCATTACATTTAGTCAGCTTCACTCTTTGCATGATGGATATATCACAATTTATTTATCCACTACCCTGCTGGTGGACATTTAGGTTGCCTCCAAACTTTTGCTATTACAAACAATGTCCATCCTTGTGTCTTTACCTTGCACTATCCAATTACAAAAGTCTATGCCCAGACTTACTTGTAAGTAGTAGCAGCAACAGCAGGACACAGTCAAAGGAAAGATGTGAAAACATGAGTCCTGAAGAAGAAAAGTCAAAGAATGGCTCTGTGTAGGTGTCGTTTTAATTCTCCAATTGAACTGGGTACTTCCTGCAGCCGTCTCTGTTCCACAATCACAAGAGCAGTGGCCACTGTCCCCCAAGTGTCAGCCCAGCACACCAGGGCGTCTGATTACCCGTCATTCCTCTATTAACGCTGTGAAGTCTACAGTCGCATCGAAGGAAACCCCAGGTCTCTGTCATGCTCCACCACACACATCCTGTAAGCGCCCTGACATTTATCCTGTTGGTATCAACAAAGAGGAAGCAATACTCAGAGGAAGAAAAATGTTAGTCAAGAAAAGTCTCTCCATGCCCAAGAGTACGCAGGTGACAGAACTGGAACCAGTTATCCTAGTATGCACTTTTTCTAAATGTTTGAAATATTTAATAGAAGATTTTTTTTAAAAAAAGTATCTCTCAGCAAGTAGAGAGAGCCTTCTAATATCTCCGATGAGATAGTCCTCTGCTTGAAATGGCAGGGTGCAGTTCCAGCTGTTACCTGGAACCAGGGAACACAAGGTAGGAACGTATGTATGCATTCATTTAGTCAAGTCAGTCAGTTGGTCAGTCATATGACCAACGTTAATGAAGCACCTACTATGTGTCAGGCAGCGGACTAAGAGCTGGAGAATACCACGATGAATGGCATGTTCCTTATCCTCACATGTCTAGACCTTTTCCACTTCAAACATGAGCCTAATTCTTAGCTTTGTTCTAACATAAATTGGGCTATGTTGTATAACCTTGCTGGATCTCAGTTTCCTCATTTATAAAATTTACAAAATGAGGGAACTGTGTTGGATGATATAGACACAGTTCCCTTCTCTAATATTCTGACTTTGACCAGAACTTTCAATCTCTTCCACTTGGGAAAGACACATTCCTTTCTGCAATGCTTTCTCCCCACTACTGTGGGTAGAATTGAGGGGACCTCATTATTCTATTTCATCTCATATACACAAGATGTCCCCTCTTCTCCCACCCCAGGAGCTTCAGGCACAAATTGTCAGAAAGCGTTGAGTTCCAGCCACACTCTCCATCACTAAGGTAACATCTCAGACCCAAATAGTCTCAGCCCTGGGAGAGTGACTTTTATTGACTTAAAAGCCAACAGTTCTTCATAAAAGGGAAGTGAGCTCACAGATTAAATAGTTTTTGAAAACCTCATGGTGGCCTTCCTCTGTCTTTCCTTCTGGAATTTCCTTGCCTCTCATCTTTATGCCATTAAATACATTTAACATAAATATCCAGCTTGTTCAATATGTGTACTTTCAAGGCATCAGAGAGCTCGAAGTCACTCAAGAGACCATAGTCAACTTCTTCATTTTATAGATAGGGAAACTGAGGCCTGAAAAGACTGATTTGCCCAAAGGCACATGATTGGCAATTTCAAATGAGAACTCGAGTACCCTAATATCCAGATTTTTTTCCATTATAAACTATGTTCCATGAATTTCATATTTGCCCTTAATATGTCTGCCCACATAACTAATAACAACCAGCGAAAGCCCATATTCAAGTGTAAGGTGGAGTAGAGTAAATATGGGGTCAGAGCTCATATTTACTAACAGCATGACCCCAAGCAACACTCTTAAAAGGTTCAGCCATCAGATTTTGTGTTTTTTTTTTTAATTTTCTGTTTTGTTTTTTCTTGTTATTACTCTGTTTTCTGTGCATCTCCAGAATTGCTACTGGGACCAGCTTTATAAAACATGAACAATTTATTAATTCATTGAAGTCTAGACATGAAGGAACCGAGAAAGCTACTCTAACTCCATTTTTTTTTTCTGTGTTTAGGGAGCCGTTTCTGAACATTTTCATGTTCATTTAACTTTTATTTTTTGTTTATTAAAAAAAACAACTGTTTAGGTAGTACATCCAAATGGCTAAAACTGAAGGAGATATAAAAAGCTTATATTAAGAAGCCTTGTTCCCACCCCTCCAAATCTACCCATTTCCCCACTCACCCTCTAGGTTTCCATTTTCATAAGTCTCTCGTGTATACTCCCAATGCAAACACAGGAAAATAAAATAAATATTCCTATTCCCTCCTTTCGTGGACAAAATATCATATCATACATAGGTTTTGCACTTTGCATTTTCTATTTACTATTTTATATAAAAATTTTTTGACATATACAAAAGCAGAGAGAATAGTACAAGTTCCCAACACACAGATTCAAAATTATCAAACTTTTATTTTAAAACAAATCCCAGACATCGTGTTATTTCACCCTTACAGACTTTAGTAAGCATCTTGTTTTTAAAAAATGGACATTCTACTATTTAGCCATAAAAAAAAGACAAAATCATTCCATTTGCAACAACATGGATGGAAGTTGAGGGTATGATGTTAAGCGAAATAAGCCAGAAAGAGAAAGACCAACACCACAGGGTTTCACTCATATGTGGAAGATAAACAAACACGGACCAAAAGAAAAGATTAGTGGTTACCAGGGGGAAGGGGGTTGGGGGATGGGCACAAGGGGTAAAGGGGTACATATATATGGTGACTGACAAATAATAACGTACAACTGAAATTTCACAATGTTATAAACTATTACGAGCTCAATAAAAAAAAATGATGTTACAAAAAATATTTAGAGGCATGGAAGGATGCTCAGGATAGGTTTTAAAAATCAAAAGGCAGACTCCAAACAGTATATAGAGTGTGATCTTATTTTATTAAAATAAAAATTGTATATATTTTAGAAGACTAGAAGAATAAATAAAATAACTGAATTCTCTGGGTGGTAGGATTACAACCAATGTTTATTTTCTTATCAGTATTTTCAAAATCTCTATAACAAACTTGCATTATATCTTAAACAGAAAAAAAATGGACATTCTGCTACATAACCATAATACAACTATCACACATTACAAAATTAATAATGATGTTTTAGCAGCACCTAATCCTTCAGTCCATAATCAAATTCCCCTGGTTATCTCCAAAATGTCCTTTTACAATAGGTTTGTTTAAATTCAGACCCAAACAAGTTCCCTACACTGCATTGTGTTGTTATGTTTGAGTCTCTTTTAATCCAGAACAATCTACCCCCCCCGTTCCCCCTACCATTGGCTGGTTGTACAAACCAGTTGTCTTGTGTAATGTTCCACGTTCTGGGTGTGTCTGTTTCCTTGTGGTGTCACTTGAATTATTTCTCTTTTCTTTGCATTTCCTATAAGTGAAACTTAGCTCTAGAGGTTTGGTTAGACTCAGGTTCGACTTTTTGGCAAGAATACTTCCCAGCTGGTGCTGTGTGCTTCAGATTCCATCACAACTGTCTGGTTGCTCCACATTTAGAGATGCTAAGATGGATCAGCTTGCACCTTTTTGTGTGTGTGTGTGAGGAAGATTAGCCCTGAACTAACATCCACTGCCAATCCTCCTCTTTTTGCTGACGAAGATTGGTCCTGAGCTAACATCCGTGCCCGTCTTCCTCCACTTTATACGTGTGACATCTGCCACAGCATGGCTTGATAAGTGTTGTGTAGGTCCACGCCCAGGATCCGAACCTGCAAACCCCGGGCCATGCAAGCGGATTGCGCAAACTTAACCACTGCGCTATCTGGCTGGCCTGTACCTTTCTTTTTTAACTTGACATTCTATTCTGAAGATCTCTCCATTTCAGATCATATAGAATGTCCTCATTCTTTATTATGACTACTTAGATCCCATTGGATGAAAACAGTTGGTAAAAATAACAGTTATCATCCCCTTGAAATGGATACTTCATGTCTCAGTTTATTTGTAAAGATGATTATAAAAGACCCACTGCGGCCTATGATTCTTTTTTTTTTTTTTTTTAATTTTTTGTTTATTGCAGTAACATTGGTTTATAACATTGTAAAAATTTCAGGTGTACATCATTGTACTTCTATTTCTGCATAGATTACATCATGTTCACCACCAAAATACTATTTACAACCCTGATTCTTTAATTACGTGCAATGAAAGTTTGCTTTTAAAAAGCAGCCTGGAATGTGTTTTTGGTAAAGAAGGCTTTCATATTGTAATTAATTAGTTTCTAAATTGTGTTTGGAAAGTTGTACCATGAATTTTCTTAAGGGGCAGTTGCTAAGTGTTGGCTATAATTATGCAGAGGGATACACATAAAAATACTGCATATGATACTACTGTAGAGATTGTTAGTGTTTTGTTTTCTCCCTTTGTCAGCAGTAAAAGTGGCAGAAAATCTGACTCCTTAAATAGCCCCCAAGCACCAAATGGAAACATTGGAATTATGTGTAATTAGAATTACTTAATAATAGATAACTAAGGCGCTGCTTGACAAAATTCGTAAAATGGAAGTTAGAGAATTTTACCCAGGTCAGGAGACAGGAAAACATGGGTGATATAGATGGGATCATCCAGAAAAACTCAGTCCAATTAGAATCTACCCCACACAGTGGAGGAACTGCAGTGGAATGGATACTGGGGAGATAACCACAATGCCCACTAAAGCTGGAATCCTATACGTACTTGATTTGAATTGAAAATGCTCTCTTATTTAAACCACAACATCTCAGTTAGTTTCCATGTATCATTAGTCCCAAAATTCTACAAACGGAGACGCTGAGGTTGGATATGAAGGATAAGAGGTTAAGCAATTTTGAGCTAGATGTTCTGACTTCCCAATTGCAGCTAGCCATGTGACTTCCCTTTAAGAGTGCTTGTACCTTTGAGTGTCTGTAGAGTACTCGGAAAACCTTTTTTTTATTATATAAGTCATATTCACTGTGGAAAATTCTGAAAAGTAAAATAAGCATAAAAATAAATACACATAATAAAGGCCACAATCCTAGTGCCAGGAAATACCCACTATCAACATAATGGGTCTCCTTTCAGATATTTTTCTGCATACTTCTCTATATGTACAAACGTGTAATGTCAGTATCTCGTGGGTGTATCATCTGTAAGAACGTCTCACTCATGGACAATTGTGAATATCGTAAACACAATAGGATCCAGGAGAAGGTATAAAACACTTCTTTACACTCCCTATTAAATCCCCTATCAGTTGGCAGACTCCACCTCAGATGGAAGTCGTTTTACTTTATTTTACATTTATTTGTGTGGTCTCAAGGCTCTCATTTGCATCAAGTTGCTTTTGACCTTGTCCTCTCCACCAGGT